TAGTGTAATCTGATAAAATGTGCTACAGAGATGCTGGAAGTCTTTAAGGGAGAAAAGTATAAACAGTAATTTTTAAAGTAACAAAATTGTAAACTAATAATAGATAATACCTTTTAGGATCATAATAGTAGAAAGTGTGTAGGAAGTATGATCAATCTTCCTTATAGAATTGGGAGCCATATGAAATTTTTCATCATTGTTTTACCCAAGCATTATTTCATATAAGATAGTAAGGAGTTAAATACTTTCTTATGGAACTTTAAGGTGTTTCAAAGAATTAGGGAAATGAAAATGAAAACCTAGTCTTTGCAAAATTTGATAAAATTGAAAGACTAGACCAGAGATAGAAAAACATCCCGGAACTCTGATTTTTGCAATCATCTTTTTGAATTAACTTTTCCTCATATCAGTGGTCTCTACCTTTACCTAATTTACCTAGAATGGTAAACATGAGCATAGATTTTCTATTCATTCCCACATTTTTGATAGTGGGGTTTAGTTGAAATATGACCCGTAGCCTCCAAACTTCTTTTTGATTGAGCACTCAATTAATTTGAAAAGAAAAAAATGAATATGAACAAGGCATATATACACATTTATATATTTAAAGATCATGCACAAATGCTCCTGGAGAATTATTCTTATGATGACAGTGCCTTTCTATAACCCATTGGATGTTTGTTCACACCCCTGAGGTGGGTGCAGCTGATTCTGGAGAACTTTGACTAAGATCATCTTCACACAGAGGTGGATCTGGGAGGTCCGGATCACTCCCTCAGCCATCTGACCATAAAACTCCACACCAAATCCTCCTCCTGAGTACAGTTATCTAATTTCTCCTTCTCTCCCTAAAGGAAACCTTTAGAAAATATTCCTTAGGTCCTTTGCTCATGTATAGTGCTTAAATATTTTTTTTGAGTTCTGCATTAGTTTCCTATTGGTGCTGTACCACATTACACAAATATAGCAGCTTAAATAACACAAATTTATTGTCTTCCAGCTCTGTAGGTTAGAAGTCTGTCGTGGGTCTCATTGGCATAGAACCAAGGTTGTGAGCACAGCTGTGTTCCTTCTAGAAGGCTCTATGGGAGATCCGTTTTCTTGCCTTTCCATCTTCTAGCCTGCATTCCTTGGCTCCTAACCCCATTCCTCCATCTTCAGCCAGCAATGGTGTATCTCTTTGGCCCTTCTTGGTTGTCACATCTCTCTCTGATCACATCTAGGAAAGGTTCTCCGCTTTTAAGAACTCCTGTGATTACACTGGACTCATCCAGATAATACAGGATAATTTCCTCACCTCAATGTCTGTAACCCTAATCACCCCTGCAATGTCCCTTTTGGCATTGAAACTACCATATTCAGATGTTACAGGGGCTAGGACAGGGAGATCTTTGAGGGGCTGTTATTCTGCCTACCGCAGGTTCTTAACAACAATTTGCTTTGTTACATAAATTAATACATTTTATGGTGGGATTAGAAGTAAATACAGTACTTTACAGGCTCTGTGAACCCACTGGCTATTGTGACTAAATGATCAACTGAAAGTGCAATGTGCTGTTTTTTTCTAGTGTCATTCCAAATATTAGCCAGAACACTTTCTATGTAGTAAAATGTCAACTCTTTATTGCTCACGTGATGTTGTTGAAATTTATAGTATCCCAGTGTAAATCCCTGTGCCGAGTTTACCTCAGTTTTATTGGAAATATCTTTTCAGGGCAATTTTAGGCCTAAGAAAGAGAAGATAGATATTAGTTATTTTATCAAGTTATGATTTTTTAAAATATTGATCACCTTCTTCATTTTTATTTTTCTTTAATTTTTCTCCCCAAAGCCTCAGGTGCATAGTTGTATATCCTAGTTGTAAGTCATTCTATTTCTTCTATGTGGGATGCCACCACAGTATGGCTTGATGAACAATGTATAGGTCTGCACCCAAGATCTAAACTGGCAAACCCGGGGCCGACAAAGCACAGTGCCCAAACTTAATCACTCCGCCATGAGGCAGGCCCCTCAAGTTACTTTTTTAACGAAATGTAAATAAATTGTAGCTCAAAGATCCTAGAAGGCATAAAGACACTAAAACTTCCCCCATAATCAGTGTTCCATGTGAGTATCCAGCACTATTTGTGCCTTTAGTTGTCCCAAATTCCATCTTCTTATTTTTCAGACCTAAAAGACTGCATGCCTTCTATGGGAGTTTTAGCTGCTCCACAAAATGACTGTGGGCTGCCCTCAGGTTAAAAACCAAACAAACAAATTAAAAACAAAAATAAAAGCACCATATCATATGCTAGTCTCATTCTCTCCAGAATCTGGTTTTTTTTTTTTCACTCTTCTGACACTTCAGGTAGTTATGTTTTAAATCTTGTCCGGAGTATTAGTTGTTACCTGCAGGAGCGTTACTCTGTTAAGAACTTACTCAGCCATGCCAGAAGGGAACTTCCACTCTCACTCAGTTTTAATAGCTATCAATTTCTTCTCCAGGCCCCATTGACAATATCATGTATGTCTGTGTCTGTCTGTCTGTCTGTCTGTCTCTCTCACCACACTCACACTCACACACACACACAACACATGTTTATATTTCTTAAAACAACCAGGTGTGTATGGTTTTTAACTATACAGCTCTTCCTGTCTCAGTATGTGTGACTAAATAGCAATTCTTGCCTTATCGTGTATATCTGCTTGATATCTGATATGAATGAGGATAAACCAGATCCAATGTCTCCATACAGGATTAGCCGGCCTTTGACACATGTCAAAACGACAACCTGATCTTTTACCTGGAGGATCATGGGAATTCCACTGTGCAACCACCATTTCCACTCTGCCTCTTAACTACTCCGTCTTTGCTTCACAGCAAGAAACAATGCTGAATGAGCAGTTTGCCATCTAGAGTATTCTGATTTCTAAAGAGAATATTTGACTTCTCTCACTTTCTCTGCAGAAAAATTCATTATCGTTCTGTCCTTACAGAAGGACAGTGGGGTGTCTTTTGAATCAGTTGAGTGTCTATATAAAAGCTCCTAACCTTGAAAAGAACATCTTGTTCCCAGGACTGAAAATACTGAAACATTAATTAAGTAATTTATAGTAGTGCTTTCTTCTACAATGTCCAAAGAAGTGACCTACGTGACACTCACATTTCAGGATTCTGTTAGAGAAGGATATATTTGGGATAGAAATAATCTAACAAAAAGAGGTAGGAGTTCAGAGAAAGCAAGATGTGACCTTGGGGAATGAACACGTGTTAAATGCCTTGCAGTGCTGTTTGACACTCATGCTAAAGAGAAAGATGCTGTGGAATCTCCGAAATGGAGACGAAGTTAGGAACGTAATAGTAGAGTGAGTGTTCCCAATACTGAGGGAGAAATATGCAGCTTCTGGGACCTCTTAGAATTGTGTGATAGCACTATGTTTCATGAAGCTCTGTTTCTAATGAACCATTTTGATTGGATATGCCAGAACCTGAGTTTGGAGACTAAGACATTTCTTTTTATAAATGTAGTTCTTGGTATTAATACCTTGCAGAGATGCCAGGGGAATATTCTTTTAGAAGCTAGTTTGGAGGTTTCCAAAATAGAGAAAGTGAAGAGAATTTTTTTTTGATGGTATAAATAACTGTAGAGAAAAACTGGAGGATGAGTGAGTCTGAAATAGACAAGAGCTCATTTTTTGTTTTGTTACTATTTAAAAACTTTTCTTTGGGTAATTGAAATTCCCAGTATAATTAATAATGGTGAATCAATAATAACAATATCTATGTAATATTTTATATACATTACATAATATCTTCATCGAAATATAATTGTGAAGTAAAGGAAATAATATAAATATTTTCTCCAATGTATTAATGAGAAAACTGAGACTGAAAGAAATTAAATGATTTAACCAGGTTTATGCAACTGTTATGTGGTGGAGACCAGACTCAGTTCTAGTCTTCCACTCATTCCCTTGTACTCAGTTGGAATAAATGGCAATCTCTGTGACCAGGAATCTAATTCAATATATCAGACTGCATAGCTTACCTTCAAGAATCTGTTGACAGTTCAGGTTGTTGTCCTGAATCACCCAAAACGTATGAACTACATCTTCCTTGTCTTTAGATTTATTTTTAGTTTAAGCATGTAGGGGGGTGTGTGTGTGGTTTGGGGGAATGATATACAAAAAAAGGATGGAAATAGACTTTGCATGTGTCTAATAAAGGTGATTATACATTTTTGCCATTAAAAAAAAATCGAAATCTAATCTTTGAGAAAAAGAAAATTGTGGATGTGGTGCATGTGATAATGCACGCGTAGATTGCATTAATCTATCTGAAATACTGGGCTAGATGCCTTTTGATCCTGAATTAAGAAATAAGAAGGTAAGAAGGTGAGGTAAACATGAGAACCACTTGTGTGTGTGTATATATATATATAGAGAGAGAGAGAGACAGAAAGAGAGAGAGAGAAATGATGCTAAATTTTGAAGAGCTGTCCACTTGCTTTCTGGTCTGTTCACTGTTTGTAGGTTAGATTGTACATTCATATCTTCTTTCATTCAATATTCATTCATTATCTAGTAGGTGATAAATAAAATGGATAATAGATAAAAATAAAATCCACAATAATTGTTACCTTATGGAGATTGGTAATCTCAAAAACTTGGGATCTCTCCTATTGTCAGGCTCATCCAGAGAAGCAGTACCTGCAACATCTCATCTCATTCATGAATTCAGTAAACTGAAGAAGAAATGTGTGTGATACTGTAAAACAAAAAATTCAAAAATTAGGAGATTTACTCTTAAAGGAAAGGAGAATGGTGGAGAAAATAAATGGAGAACTGATGGTGGAGTCTTACTGTGCATCATTTTAGGTATTTTCTACATAGAGGCATTGAAGAAGCAAGAGAAGAATTTTAGGAAGTTTAGGAAACTTCCTAAGTGGGAGAAATAAACAACCCATGTGTAACCACCACAGGCAGTTCTGTTTGTTAATTCTTCTGTTGGCTTTCTGCAGAGTATCCAGCTCCATCCCTACATGGCTTCAGGCTGGCCTGAGTCTGCCAACTCCTTATCTGATGCTACTGACTGGGCTGGTGATCTTGGGGATTATGTGTAAGTATATTTGCTTCAAACCCAAGAAAGGTGATTAGGAGATGCATTTGTAAACTATGTAAATTCAAGTTGGATGATATGACAGGTGCTACATCCTGAATAGTACTTTATAATACTTCACTTCATCTCTCTCTCATTCTCCGTGTTTCCAAGACAAACCAGTAAGATATATACTTTATTATTATGTGGATTTTGCCCTAAATCCATTGCCTTCTCTTGATAAACTAGATGGGACTATGAAGACAACTTTTATTTTTCTAGTTATTGGTTGGAATAAGGAGCCTCTTTTCTTCACAGACATACATCCACTTATTATCCCAGTGGTGAGAAACAGGGAGTCGAGGGAAGTGGATTCAAGGAGAAGAATGCCATTTCATTTACTTCTAAGACTTAGTACATAACTGGCTTAATCTTCTCACTCTAGACCTTTCTAGGGTGGAGAAAACTTCTAAGCAGCAGCAACAGCCTGACTGCTATAAATGAGAACGAGATACAAACAAGGAGGAAGAGCTGCCTGATATAACTTACCCAGCAGATAGAAAGTTGAACCATCTCCACATAACAATGGAAGCTCCACTTCCAAGCATAATAGCCAAAAAAAGAGTATTTCCTTGATTCTAACTCATTATCGGGTAGTTGGGGGTGGACAGGATAGGGAGTCCCGGACTAAAAATGAGTGGGAAAACATCCTGAGAATACGCATTTTGTAAGATGTTGTTAGGTATATGATGTAAGGGGTAGTGAGTTGCACAGTGTTCACTTTCTGGGGACTTGCAGTCAATTAAGTTTATTTGCTGAATGATACTAACATCTACTCTGCTACTTTCATTTCTTTTTATATATGTAAGATCTCATGGATAATTAGGATTTAGAAATACATATTTGGACATATAAATAGAGGCTAATGATGTAGCTTGCTCTTTTGAAAAGAAATATGATGTTCTAGCAGTAACAGATAATCAATATCCAACCATTATGAGGATTAATGGTTGATCTTCTACAATGATGTATATTTAAAAAGTGAAGTTGCAATGATTTATATTCATTGGTTCACTATAGAAGGGTGGACACTTTTTTTCTAAAGTGTGGTGCTTTTAGCACAATTGTTCTTAAATTTATTATGGTGGTGTCATCTGAAGTTTATTAAAATGTCATATTTTATGAATTCAGGACCAAAAATGATCTAGTGTGGCATTAAAATCTGCTTTTTTAAAAAACAACTACCCCAGGTGATTCTAATGCAAGTGTTCTGCAGACCATACTTTGAGATACTCATTGCCCCCAAAGGATTCTGTTCCTATTAAAATAATGATTAGCAGACATTTGGCCCACACCAAAAGGTCTCTGATATTTGCAGGACCATTTGGTTCTGTCCCAAATATCCATCAGACATTTGATCCATGCCAAAAGGTCCTTGATATTTCGTCTTGTCCACAACCATTGGCAGGGACCAAGTATGCTGATAGACATTTTGAACAGGACCAAATTTCAAGGACCCTTTGGCATGGACCAAATATCTTATAGACATTTTGGCCAGGACCCAATGTCCTGCATGGAAAACAACAATTACATGAACCAAGTCCATATAGAAAAAAGAAAAAAATTCCACCAAATGAATGGCAGAAAGACCATTATTGCCTTAGATGAAATGTCAGAAATATGTAATTATTAATTCATTATTTTAATGCAAGTACAATCGTAATTAAAATATAAATAAAATTATAAAATTAGCTATAAACAACCTGGAATATAAAGTCATATGGTGTGTTTCTTCCATGATACCTCAATTATTAGAAGCTACTAATGAATATTGTAAAAATATAAGAAATATTACTGTGTGAAGAGAATTATTTATGGCTATCATGAGAATAGAAAGGTATATGAACTTGTCTCCTGTTATGTCTTGGAGTTTTGTAGACAGCTAATGATATTAACTCACACTCAGAGAAATTGAGTCAACTTCAGAAAATCATCCACTAACTGCAGAATAACTTATCTCAGCAGCTGAGCACTACAGAAACTTTCCCATGGAGGAGAAACTTCTCAAATCACAGATCTCCAATCTATTGAAAATGTGGGGAGAAATGGCCATCAAACTCTGCCAAGAGCTAGTCATTAACACTTCAGGTAATCAGGACCTGTTGACCAGTCATGTCAAATCTGTTGCCCCAGTTTATGTTGCTTATGTACACTGCATCAGACTATGAGAGAGTTATGTAATCCAATGACCTCTATTGATGCCACACTAAATTTACAGAAGACAAGGGAAGATAAAAATTCATTTGATATTTTTGAAAGCACAGAGGCAAATTTGGGAAGCATCTTAGAATGATACCAATCTGGATACTTCAGCCCCTCATTTTATGAACAATTTTTAGGTGATCCTGTTGCCTTAAGAAGTAAAAGGTGTAGCCGGTAATTCTGAAGCTGGAGGACTGAACCCTGAAAAGGGAATTTCAGTCACCATTGTCCCAACTCATAATTGGTGGTGACTTCATTTTCAGAGTCTCCTAAAGCAGTATATTTTCAGGGTGCTGGCTCTCAGACATATTGTCAAATGAAATGATTTAGTTTCCCAAACCTTCCCGGTCACTCTAGACTTGTTTAGTTTGTACTATTGGGTGTAATTTCTTTTTTAGATGATAAATGTAATCCCTGTCCTAAGATGTTGCAATAGTACCCAAACAGTTGTTACTATTTTTCAACAAGTGAGGAAAAAACCTGGACCAACAGTAGAAAAAACTGCATGGACAAGAACTCCACCTTGGTAAAGATAGATAACTTGGAAGAAAAGGTCTGATTGAATCTTCTTCCCTGGTTTGAGAAATTATCTACATAATGGAAAGTAAATAAATAGAGTACCTGACTCACAGAGTAAGAATCAGTGTATTTTGAATGAGAATTAATAAATGAATTTAATGAATGTTCCCACCTACCTTACTTCTGCAAACTTGAAAGTGGCTCTCGCATAACATATTTCCTGTTTTCTCTCTCAGGATTTTCTTTTCTTTTTTTTAAATTTCATGATTAAAGTTTAATATAACATTTGAAAACCAATCAACAAAATCCATTACATTAACGTAAAAGGAGAATAATCATTTCAAACCTTCCATAGATGCAAAAAAGCATTTGATAAACTTCAACACTCAATCACGCGAAAAGTCTATAGGAAACTAGGAAAAGAAGTGAATATTCTTAATCTTTTTTTTATTGCAGTAACATTGGATTATAACATTATATAGTTTTCAGATGTACATCGTAACATATTTCAAATTCTGTGTGGATTGCATCATGTTCAGTATCCAAAAATTAATTATAATCCATCATCACATGTGTGAGCCTAATCACCCCTTTTGCCCTCCCTCCCCCCCACTTCTCCTATGGTAACCACCATCCAATCTTTGTTGCCATGTGCATGTTTGTTGTTGTTTTCATCTTCTAATTATGAGTGAGATCATATGGTATTTAACTTTCTCCCTCTGACTTATTTCACTCAGCATAATACCCTCAAAGTCCATCCACGTTGTCATAAATGACTGGATTTCATCATTTCTTAAAGCTGAGTTGTATTCCATTGTGTATATATACCACATCTTCTTTATCCATTCATCCCTTGATGGGCACCTAGGTTGCACCCAAGTCTTGGCTATTGTGAACAATGCTGCAATGAACATAGGGCTGCATGTATCTTTATGTATTTGTGTTTTCAATTTCTTTGGATAAATACCCAGCAGTGGAATAGCTGGATCATAAGGTAGGTCTATTTTTAATTTTCTGAGTATACTCCATACTGCTTTCCATAATGGCTGCACCAGTTTGCACTCCCACCAGCAGTGTATGAGGGTTCTCTTTCTCCACATCCTCTCCAACACTTGTTGTTTCCTGTCTTGTTAATTATAGCCATTCTGACCGGAGTGAGGTGACACCTCATTGTAGTTTGGATTTGCATTTCCCTGATAGCTAATGATGTTGAACATCTTTTCATATGCCTGTTGGCAATCCGTATACCTTCTCTGGAGAAATCTCTCTTCAGGTCTTTTGCCCATTTTTTAATTGGGTTGTTGGTTTTTTTGTTGCTGAGATGTATGAGTTCTTCGTATATTTTGGATATTAACCCCTTATCTGATATGTGGTTGCAAATATCTTCTCCCAATTGTTAGGTTGTCTTTTCATTTTGTTGATGGTTTCCTTTGCTGTGCAGAAGGTTTTTAGTTTGATGTAGTCCCATTTGTTCATTTTTTCTTTTGTTTCCCTTGCCCGGTCAGACGTGGTACTTGAGAATATGCTGCTAAGACCGATGTCAAAGAGCGTACTGCCTATGTTTTCCTTTAGAAGTTTCATGGTTTCAGGTCTTCCATTCAAGTCTTTAATCCATTTTGAGTTGATTTTTGTGCATGGTGTAAGATAATGGTCTACTTTCATTCTTTTGCCTGTGGCTGTCCAGTTTTCCCAGTAACATTTATTGAAGAGACTCTCCTTTCTCTATCATATGCTCTCGGCTCCCTTGTTGAATATTAGCTACTCATAAATATGTGGGCTTACTTCTGGGTTCTCAATTCTGTTCCATTGGTCTGTGTCTCTGTTTTTGTGCCAGTACCATGCTGTTTTGGTTCCTATGGCTTTGTAGTATATTTTGAAATCAGAGAGTGTGATACCTCCAGCTTTGTTCTTTTTTCTCAGGAATCTCTCTCGGGATTTTCTGAAGTCAAAACCATTATTTGAGTTTTCTTTCTTCTGGTTGGGATTACAATGGGATCCATCTGGCAAAAGTTGGCTATGAGAGGATGGCTCTATCCACTCTCCATTCTTGTAAGTCTCTAACTATTGAGAAAACACCAAGCTAGGAATAGTAAAAAATGGAATACTAAGAAAATAAATGTTAATTATAAGAATTATAAATCTATATATAGAGAAAGAGTAAAGTGTGCAAAGAAAAGAGAGCTTCAGTAACAAATATTGAAAGGAGGAGTACCTAATTTCACATGTGTGACAAACTCATGGCAAGACAGTGAATCTCATTTATTTGTTTAAATTTATTTATTTATTTAGTAAACACAAATGATACTTAGATGTTCAAAGTACTTTACAAATACTAGCCCTATGATAAAGGCACTGTTATAGTTCCATTTTATAGAGGAAGAAATTGTCATAGGAGACTACGTAACTTACCGAGGTCACTCAGCTCATAAGTGGCAAAATCAGGGCTGCGTGCTTTAGTGATCATGAGCTCAGCCTCTCAGCTATTCTCCAGAACTTACAATATGGAAAGTAATGTTTATCATAAGAACATACATTAACACATTTATTTAAATAGAATAATTGTCAGCTATTTTCTAACCAAAAGTAAGTCTGAATTGACTGATCAGTTTAACAATTAGTTTTTTGACAGGAACTTGCCAATTAGATTACATGACAGATTTTCTTCATGAATTAAAATGAGCTAAATCTGCCACTTTAAGGTTTTGGTGAAAATATTTAAAGTACATATTATACTCTGAATTGCATTTTTTGCAAATATTTAAAGTTATGAAAAAAGAGATGTCAACTTAAAAATGTGTAAAGGGACACAATTTTGCAAAATTATTTTAGTGAGTACAAAACCAAGTATTTTTAGGATCTCCTCTCTTTACAATTATATTAAAATGGTATAATTATATTCATATTTTAATATAACATATGGTATTTTTATATTAGATGAAATATGAGATCACTGGCATCTTTCCAGGTTTTTCTCCTAGCCTTCCTACCCAATCAAGTTATTAATCCATTCAATTAACTTCTCTTTTCCTCTTTAATGCATGTTGTCAATGTTCTTTTAAATTGAATTATAATTGCTTATTTTCTGTCAAAATACTGCACTTCAGTTGTGATTCATCAAAATTCCTTGAATAACAAACAATGATATGCCTATGCTCTTTTCCCTAGATACAGTATCTTCATCTATTTGCCAAAGTTTTGTCATGGCCTTTTCTGTTCAACACCAATCTCCCACTCTCTAATCATCACTACTAGTCAAATTAAATTGACTAGTCTGGTTTCACACAAATAATAATGGCAAAAAGCACATGCAAAGTAATAAACATACAAATAAAAACGACAGTTCCTTCTTTGTAATATTGGGCATGAAATGATTACAGATTAATCTGAGGTATTGCTGCTACGCTGAAGGCTTACAGAGTAGAACCATGACACTGTGTCAATGTAGTTGTTTCCATTTTGGAATTTGAGAAGATGTGTCCCTTCTCCCAAAGAAGTTTTAAGCCTCCCTGGCCACTCTGCTGACTCCAAATTAAAGTATGGAGGAGTGGCCTTCACAGCAAGGTTCAGAGCCTGGGGACACTGATCCCCTGAGACTGCAACTGTTACACTCAGGTTAGCGAAACTGAGCTTCAGGATCAGTTTTCTGCTGAATGAGGGCTACTCTGAGCAAGTGCATATCCTAAGAGGAAGATTTAGTAAGCCCAGCTCTGAAGCAAGAAAAGAATATCATAGGATAATGCAGGTCATTTGGATAAAAAGCAACTTGGGGCACACAAAGGATTTAGCCCCCATGAGCATGATTTTCTAATGGCATTCTTTAGGAGTTATCACCAATTCCTTAGCAGAGGACCTAGAGACTGATATCAGAACCACATCTATGTAGTTATTCATTTTCTCCCTTGACCTCTGCCTTGTTTGCTCGTCACCCTCCACATATGGATAAACATATACAAAATTATATTTGTGCATAGTAAAATGTAATAACTTTTATACAGAATGTGATTTCATTTTTCGGTTTTTCTTCATAATGTTCTCAAGTAAAGAAATTCTAGTACTTCTAATATAATCTGCATTGGGTAGTTTGTGCCATGTTAATGGAGAGAATACAAATTCTCAACCCAGAGTTTAATTATCCTTCTTAAATAATTCTACTTGGGATCATGACTAACTTGAAATAAAGAGCTCAGATATGCCAGCTTTACGGATTTTGATGCGTTGTGTAGCAGAAATCTCTCAGCACTCAGATATTTGGCTATGAGGCTGACTGGAAACACTGTATTGTTATTAAACTTCAAATATGAAATTTATAACTAATTTTAAATTCACTAATTTTCATGTTTAGTCCCAAAGAATATGCCCAGATCAATGGATCCAAAGGATGTGCCTATTTTCAAAAAGGAAATATTTATATTTCCTGCTGGAGTGCTGAAATTTCTTGGATTTATGAGAAGACAGCTGCATTGGTGAAAACCGAAGATTTGGATTAATATGCTTCTTCCAATTTCACCAGGAAGTAAGGAATTTGTGATTAAGCTCATGTGAGGAAGGAGAAAGCTACACTAGCAGAGCCAAAAGGAGATTAAAAAGTGACTATGTATTTAAACTATTGGGCAAATAAACTCGCTTCACAGAACATTCTCCACTTCATCGTCTGATGCCTTCTGAGCTGATGTTCTTGCCATTCAGTCTTAAAATTATCACTGGGGACCTGAAGGAAGAGCTGTTCTATGGCTCCATTATTCAGTCTCAGAATCATTTCACTGAATTTCCTCTCTCTCCAATAAAAGGCTCTTTTCTCACTTTGTGCACATAGTGATATTTAAATATTGAATGGTCAGAACTGACACTGGCCAGAGCACTGGAATGAGGTCAGCGAGACTTGTGATGATAGTTTCTGGATCATGCGGAGATTTGGGGATGCTAGGGTAGGGGTCCTGCTGAAGTGGTGGTGGTATACTGAATCATTTGGAAATATTTTAGCAAATGGTTTGTCTGTACCACTGTGTACCAGCTAAGTATCAGCCTGCATGAGCAAAATAACTCTCCTTCTCCCACTCCAAACGAAAGTGCATCTTTTATTGATTTTTAAAATTTAAATAATTTGTAATCTAGGTGAAGTAGGATATTATTTAGTATTTACATTCTCATTTATTTAAATTAGTAAATAAATTAAGGTTATTGAGCTTACTGTTTTGGTAATCTGGGTATTATTATCAGAAGTTTATTCTCTTATATTTAAAATTTTATTTCCTTCAGAAAAGTCCTAATAAATTGTTTGAAGACATTAAAATATTAGAACCATTATCTTTTATTTTTATTTTTCAAAACTTTTCTTTAACATCGTTTGTTAGCGTCTCTGCCCGTTAGACTCTAAACATTGTAAATTTAGAGTTCAAGAGCTTTTCTGGGGACAAAATTGCTGATATGAGACTGTCAGTAAAAGGTATAGTTTTCATTTTCTCATATAATTGCATAGCTATGTACAGGCTAAAGAGAATGGTAACCTAATCTTTGATACTGATTTGTCTGGATGAGAGATATAGAATTTACTGGAAAAACTGATACGATCCAAGTTCAAAGCTAATTGTATTTCAGAATACTTTGCTAGTTCTTTGAAAGAACATATTTATACATACAGTCTTGTAGCCTGTTATTCTCTAAATTTAAAATTGTGAGCCAATCAACATTTATATGTACCAACAGAAACACTAGAACAAAGAAATTAAATTCTAATGTGAAAATTTAGTAAGAATTACAAAGAAAATATATTTAAGCACAGATTTTTAAATATAGATAATTATTTTATTATAGTTCAGATGCAGGCTTTACCAATTCTCATACAGGACTGAAATACAAGTTGCATATACGTGTATTTCAAAAGAAATTTTGTTCTCTCATTTCTCTTTAGTAGCTTGCTATCATTGCCATTTTCCCAAAGATAAAATTATTCATTAAAGGACAAGAACTCTGCACCTGACTCTCACACATTGAGTTTTTCTTTATTGCCATGAGAAAGATAATTTCTTCTTTTATTCCTTTATTTCTAACCATAGAAAGACCGCTAATAATTAAAATATCTTTGTTGGTGATTTTGTTCCTATGAAGAGGTTTACAGGTTTTTTTCCTGGTATCTTGTATCTTCTATTCCTATTTCATGCACACTCTGACTTTCACATTCACTAAAACAGAATATTTCTGTTTCTGACCTCAAAGTGGCTCTGGAATTTGATCAGATCCTATTTCTCATAGACCTCTCCCTGCTGCCCTGCTATCGTCATGTTATTTCTGGCAGCCTCTACAGGGGATGAAGAAATTCAAAGGTCTTCTTGGGAATACATGAACTTCTTATGTCAGAATAACTTATCCCTCATTGCTTTCTGATAACTCGGCTTATAAGACATGGAGTATCCCAGGAATTTCAATCTCTCTTTCTCTCCTCGGTCAAAATTCCTGAGAGACATTATTTATTTCTGTATATAAATGTATATACATGTACTTATAAATACTTATACATGTACACACACTCACGTATACTGTCTAAATTCCTGGGGAAAGGCCATGTTTTGTATTTATTTTGGATAGCTTTCTTCCCTCATTGAGTAGTTATGTGGTTTCCAAACCTTCACATCAGATTTACATGGATAGTCCCTTAAAAGTACAGGTTCCTAGGCCAGCCTTGTGGCCTAGTGGTTAAGTTCAGTGTGCTTCACTTCAGTGGCCAGGGTTTGGTTTCCAGGCACAGACCTACACCACTTGCTGGCAGCCATGCTGTGGCAGCAACCCACCTATAAAATAGAGGAAGATTGGCACAGATATTAGCTCAGGGCTAATCTTCCTCAGCAAAAAAAAAAAAAAAAAAGTACATTTTCCTGTCCCATATCTCATATGTATATAGACTCAGAATGACTGGAGGACAGGACTGGAGAAACTGTAAGTTCACAAACTCCACAGGTGATTCTTAACAACTCAGTCTTGGTATTTGGTAATGTTCAGATAAATGACCTTAACACCAACTGACTGAGCAAATATGTCCAGAGGCAAAGGTGCTGGAACTATCCTCAAACTGAATGGCTATTTAATCTTTTCTCTTTTTTTATTATTTATTATTTAAAATTTTACTTTTATTCTGCTTTATTAAGATATAATTGACATATAACATAGACTTGTATAAATTTAAGGTGTGCAACATAATGATTTGATATATGTACATATTATGAAATGATTTTTCCAATAAGTTTAGATAACACATCCATCACTTCACTGGAATGCTCTTTCTGCAGTGTTAGCAAAGTTAGTTTGGTCTGTGCAGGCCAAATTGGGTCAGGGAGGTTAGTTTGATCTATCTGCCTTTGTGGATACAGTTCTCAATTTAGCTGCACACTGAAATTACGGTGAGGAGCTTTGAAGAAATCCTGATGCCTGAGATTATCTCACCTCTTACAATTCTGATTTGACTGATCAGGAGTGTGGTTAGATTATCGAAAAAAACCTTAAAGCTGCCCATGTGATTCTAATGTGTAGTTAAGTTTGAAAACTACTGGACTGAGGTCATCCCAGTGACCCTTATCTTGGTGAAGGGGTACCATGTTGGTAAAATAGCCAACCCTCCACTATATAAGAAAGCAGGCGAGCTTGTCCCATTGGTGAGGATTCCATGGTGTTGAGACAGTGGGTCTGGTGACTGTAATCTGAAGCTAGCGTTGACAATATATTTGAGGCTGCATATTGACCAATTTATGTGTAATCATTCTTGTTTTTTTTTCTTGCGTATGGAGAAAGATGCGAAGGACATATTATTGACATTGTTTTCCTCAGGGTAAGTATGATGGTAGTAAAACTGGACAGGAAGGGGAGATAATTAACTTTTTAAATTGAGAATTCATTTTGAAGCAGAGGACTGAAAGAGAGAGTTAGATTCGGAACAGATGACCAAAGTTAATAAGGTGGTCCTGAAGCAAATGTAACTCTTTATGCCACACGTATGTTAGTCCACCTGAACAAGTAACTTCAGGTAATAACATTTTTTCCCTCTCCTTTAAGGTGGTTAATAATACAAATATGATAAAATGCATCTCCCCTCAGTTCTCAGTTCAAAATGTGTCTTAGCATGCAGGGAACAGATGTGTCCCAATCTCTTATTGCGGAGTAGTGTAGTTCGATGCTTAAGACAATGGATTTTTGAAGTCAGGCAGCTATGGGTTTACGTTCTTATTCTCTGTTTAAAAGCTGTATAATCTTAGATAGAATTCTTAAATTCTCTAAGCCTGTTTCATCAACAGCATAGGGTGACAAAAATAATGCCTATTCCCTGCAATTTTTGTGGAGAAAATAATGAGATACAAAGCATGTGGTGCAGTGAGCTGCCAATTAAATTTAGCCATTATTTCTATTACCATCCCTGCTTTGCTGGAAGTGCAGATTCTCACACCCCTTCCATCCCTGTGCACACTGCTGCATGGAGTTCTGTTTGATTCTCAAACAAAGATTTGGTCCTTGCATGTACATGTTGAGTCTCTACTTCTGTACCTGCTGTATTTTTGGGAAATTTATCTTGATGTAATAGAAAGCCAACATTTTTCATACAAATATTATGAAAACCGGTGAGTGCAGCCAAGCATTATTTCATCAGGAAAAAAAGAGCAAGGAGCAGCAGAGCAAATCATAGGTGGCAAATAGCTCTAGGTGATCACCGGAGATAGGTCCTGTTTCCTATGATTATTTTTGTGCTTTCTGTGCCCTCCGTGATGTTGAGGCCAGAAATGAGAAAGAGAAGATGTTAGTCTATTCCAATTTTCCCAGATTGCTCAATAGTTCTAATGAATTAGGTATTATTTATTCAATCATCTTTAGATTCCTTAACATCTAGAACTGGAAATTCTAGGAAAGCAATAATTTTTATTGTAACAGTTACCAAATGAAAACGCTATCATTTTCAGTTCTGCAACTTTGTTTCTAGACAGAATTTATTTCTGAGAAAAGTTACTCTCTGTGGGTGATCTTTAAATTGGAAATTCTTTCCAATCCAGGTTTTATTCAATTTTTCAGTCTACTTATTTCACCCTAAATACAGATGAAAACACTTGGTTAGCTTTGCATATATTAACATACTATCTAATATATACATTACATGTATTATATATATTCAGAAACATATTTGCATACAATATATGTATAATATATATTCAGAAACATACATATGTATAATATATACATATATTATATATACATAATATCTACATATATTATATAAATATGTAATATATATTCAGAAGTATGTTTATAATTGTATGTATTATATCTATGAATGTATTATATATGTAATATACGTATATTCAGAAACAAGTATATTTTCTTCAGTTAGTCATTGCTTTTTCTATTTTCTTCTATCAGCTCTTAAGCATAATTTATTTGATCTAGTTGTTTAGATGACAGTTTTGCCTTCAAGAAAAGAATATTTTTTTAAAAGACTTCACTAGAATATATGGAGGTAATAGATAAGGAGAATATTAGACAAAAAATATGGATTTTAAGAATACAGAAATACTTAAGGGAGGTGTGAGTTATGTGCCTAAGACAGAGGCCGTGTTGCCCAGTGGAAATAAAATTGAGTCATTGGGGAAAGTAATAGCTTGGTTTCCATTTCTGTCAAAAAGTACAATTGTAGGTACAAGAAATAATCCAATCCCTCTACATCTTGTTGGACTTAGTGTTTTCTGGGTACAACTTCATCACATCTGGGTTTTGTGTAAAAGGCACGTTGTGAAGTGCGCCAATGTGTGAA